TTATCGAGGAAGATTCATTCTCATTGGGCAACGTTGTATTCGTTTTGTTTTTTTTTTGTTTTTTTTTGCAGAATGTTGTATATTTTTGTGTTTTTTTTTTTTTTTTTCCCGTTCTGCACTACCGGTTGTCCGAGGCTCGGCAATAAAGTCCGAGGCTCGGGAATGACGGGGCTACGGTAGCCTGAGCCACGGGCCTCGACAACCGGTAGGTACTGGTGATTTAAGGAGGTTTTTTTTCTTTTTGGAGTTGTTGGGCGAAAGCCTACAGAGCTATGGCTGGGGTCTAACCGGGCGGTACAGTTCGAGTCGTTCCGGGTTGTTTGTGAGGATTCCCGGCCTCAAAGTTGGTCTTGCTTTTTCCCGAAAAAAAAAAAGGATAATCTTCCTCTGGTTGGTGTCATAGACCTGCATCCCGGTTTCATTCATGCCGTTTTCATATCATTTGAGGTGAACGACCAAGCAGACTTGGGACACTCCAGCGCAGGCAGATGGTTCAGGCTAAAGCGAAGTAGGTAATAAACCCGGGCAGACGATGCTTACGTACGGAGTCTCGAGTGGGAGCGGGATGGTCTATGTATGGGCATTTGGCACTCTCCCAAGAGTGTGTTTGGAAAGTACGCGCATGGCATGGGGGTGAAGTGTGACCTATCATGTCAGTCTGGAACGCAGCAGTCACGCAGGGTTATCTTCCGTCGGCCACCTGGTGCACAATCTGAACGGACGGGCCCCTGTGGAAGGGGGAACGTGGGGAGTAGAGTGCAAGGGCGGTCACAGAGCTTAGCACCGACATATAGCTTCGGTCAGTGTCGTACATAAAGAACACATGACGACATTTGTTCAGTGTGGCGCCCCGCCTGTCTTTCCCCTCGGTCAGGGTTCCCCTCTCTTTGCGATTGCGACTCTCCCCCGCTTTCCTCGAGTTACATTTCATGGTGCACATTGGTGAACTTTCCTTTTCCGCCTGTTTTATTCGGTGCCTTGTCTCTCCTCTCTTGACGCGTGTCTCCTTCCCTGCTCCACGCCTCTTTCACCACAGCACTCAGCGTCTATCTACGCTTCCTCCCTTTCTGTTGTTTGCGAACGATGCATTGGTTTCGTTTTCCGTGCGCGCTTGTGTGCGCGTTATCTGTCTTCATTCTTGTGTGTCGCGGGAAGATTGGCCTTGGGCGGCACATTACCACCGAAATCGGTGCGATTTGAGTTGAGCTTTTTCAGACTTTGAGCGCGGCCGGGTCGAGAGTGTAGTGTGGCGAAAGGCACTTCCGAGCGGGTTTTCACTTCCGGGAGCACTCCCGAAAAAATTCCCAAGTCGGGAGTGTTGTGGGAGGCCCTTCCTCTCTCTGCTGCCGCCGTTTCCCCTCGACGCTCTTCAACAGTCAGCAGCACGCATAGCCACGTGGTAGTTACTGCGTTTTCTTTGTGGATGATGCATCCTCCTTGAGGCGCGGAAGAAAGTGGTCACTGTAGAAAGAGGCACGTATTCTGTTCCTCTAGGCAGCAGTCAGGAAAACGAATGGCTGCCTGTTCGCCGTGTTGAACTGCCGCGCGAGGCGACCGCTTGATGGGTCCGCGGAAATCCTCTCCCGCTGGGTTCTCGTCATCGCGCCCATGAGGATCGACACTATGATGATGATGTCTCTGTCCCCCTTCGACGGCTCGTGCTACCGGTATTCGTAACGAGCGTCAACCACTCAGGAAGGAATTCTCCATCCCGAACGCATCGCTGGTCGCTTCCACTGTGTGGATGTTCCCTTCTCAGATTGATTGATTGCTGGCGACTTCCGGGCGTTTTCCGCTCGGGCGTTGCCGGGCCCGTGCTGGATCGGACCGGGCGGGTGAGGGCAGAGTGTTCGTGAGTGGCCCTGGAGTCGGTCCGGAAATGGACGTTCCACTTTGAAAATTCACTTTTGACGTCTCGGCTCTTCTTCATTCCTTGCCGCTTCCTTGTGGACGAGTTAAGCAGACTCGTCGGTGTCTATTTAGATCGCTAAGCTCCCCATGACCCAGCTCGTTGCTTCTCTGTCTGTCTGTCTGTCTGTCTGCCTGTCGCTCTATCTGTCTCTCTCCCTGCCTCCTGATAATTTTTGTGAATCAGTCGTCATCTTCTCGTTGTTCGTCGATTCGTTGGTATGCTAGCCGATGCACTTTGCCCTTTTCAGACGGGAGGGGTTCGTTATAGCCTTACAGCGCGTCATAACTGGCGTTAGATCCTCAAGTGCCGTCGCAAGTGCGGCATGACTTTGACACCTTGAGAACGGCTGCAACATTGTCATGCAGGGGTTATTCTCCTCATCGCGCTGGCTGTCGATCGCACACTTAGTACACGCACAGAAAGACCATCTCCCCTCCCCCCCCCCCCCCCCCCCCCCCCCCCCCCCCCCCAAGACCTCCTGTGTACGGTTCTCGTTCTGTACATCACGCTGGTTGTCGATCTCTCCCGTTCTGTTTGCTGCCGGTGTGCGCACATACGCACAGCACACATATACACAGAGGGACCATCTCCCGCCCCCTCCTCCACCTCCCCCACTGTCGTGCCCGGTTTACTTCCCCCTATCGCTCTGGCTGTTGATCTCCCCCGGGCTGTGTGCTGTTGTCGTGTGCGCTTACATTATACACACACAGAGGAACCACCTCTCGCCCCCCCGCTCTTCCTCTCTCCCTTGTGCTGGGGCTCGTTGGTGTTTCGTAGTTGGGATCGCGGAGTCCTAGCGCGTCAAGAGAATGGGGTTGATTTTTCAGCAATACTTGACTGGTCCGCGCATTTACACGTGCAGCACATGTAAAACGCATGCTGCGAATCATGATGACGTGGTGTCCAAGGCATTTCAAGGGAAGCACGGGCGGGCGTATCTGTTCAACAACGTGTACGTGTCTCCGATGCTCTTGTCCTCCATCTCCTCTTGCTGGCACTGCTGCCACCGCCTCGCTTTCCTCCCTATCAATGTTTCCCCTGTTTTTGCATCCCTGTCGTGTCTCGCGCTCGATGTTCCTGATCCATCGTTTCTCCCCCTCTATTTGGTTTGATAGGGTTTTCTCTTTCAGTCTCCTACGCCTTCTCCGCTCCCAGGCCTTCTCCCTTCCCCCGCCCGAATCAGTTCCTTCTGCAGCCGTCTTGGTTCAAACCTTGTGTGTTTCATTGACTTTCCGCGTCATCACGTGAAGATCAGCGCGGGATAAGAGCGAGGATGCACTTTGTGCACATGCAAAACGGATTGGGTCACGTATTTTGTTGTGGGTGGAGCTTGTGGGGCAGGCGTTGACACGTCGTGTCGTGCACATGGCATGCCTCTGTCGTTTTCGCCGCTGCGCTTTCGCCTCTTCCTTAGCGTCTTATGATGCCTCGGCTTTTCGTGTTTACTTGGCCGATTGTTTCTGATCAAGGTAAAGCAGCGCCTCTTCCTTAGCGTCTTATGATGCCTCTGCTTTTCGAGTATTCGAAGATTGGCAACAATCGCGAAGGTTGGGTTTTTTACCTCGGATATGGGTTTAATCACGGACAGTGTCCCCGCGGAGGGGGGGGGGAAAGGGGGAGGAAAGGTGGGGGGGGGGGGGGGGGGGGTTGCGAGGAAAGCGCTCATTTCTCCGGTATCCATATTTTTCGTCCTTTTGTTCGTGCTACGGCCCGGTACTGCCCGGTCAGTCGATGGGGGACTCGTTTCCGAGAGGAGGCATGGAAACAGCGAGGCAGAGAAAAAAAGAGGGAAGTGAACAACGATACGAGCAAAAGCAAGCTGTCTCTGTGTTTGCGTGTCTGTTTGTATGTACTGCCTGCTGATTTGCCTCCGGATTGCGTGGACGTATGGTCCGGATCCTTCGTACGTTGCCCCTGAACGGCTATGTGGGATGGGCTGCCAAGGCGAGCGTTACCCGTCTGGGAAGTGACACTTTGTGTGTGATGTCGTCCTTCCCTTCCCCGATGTCCGGTTGCGGGCTATCTGTGCGGGCGTTCGTCGCTTGATGATTCTCAACAATAATGGTGCAATTACGTGTGTGACAGATGTGTGTGACTGACAGCGGTCCTCGCGGCGCTTGTGGTACATTCGAAAAAATAGTGTCGATCAGCGTGCTTCTATGTCTGCGCAGGCGCTTGATTCGCAGCGGCAATGAAACGGAGTTGGGTGGAGTGAGTGCATGGGTCTCAGGAAGCGTTCCTGCGCGGTATGTGTGTGCGTTCAATCGTCTTTGATGTGACGACTGCGCATATGTGTGCAATAATGTCCCGAGATATATCTGAGCTACTAGCAGATCTTGTATGGCTCTTCATCAAACGTAGTCATGCGAACCGATCATGGTTTGACGTGGACGCTGCCTGGAACGAGCAAACTGGATCTCCGCCCCCCCCCGTAATCCGCAAACGGGAGCTCTGCCCCCCCGTAATCCGCAAACGGGAGCTCCGCCTGGAAGCAATAGGCACTCGTCATTCATGTGTTTCACTCTCTTTTTCTATTGGGAGAGAGGCGATAGCGGAGGGTGGATGGAGACGTTCTTTTGTTACCTCTTGCCTTGTTTGTGTCCTGGCGCTGATTTTGTGCAGCCGTGCGTTAGTACGCACCCTGAGCGGAATTATTTGGTAAATTTAGGATGCAACGGAACCAGTCATGGTTATTGTTTTTGTTTCGAGCACCTTGCTTGAGCAGCAGCTGGTTTCGCTCATTCGCAGAGGAGGCTTGCTTGGTGTCATGTCGAAACATCACACGCTCGCACGTGTTTTTGTTTTCTTCGTTTTTCTTTTTTCTCTGAAAGGGTGACGGCCCTACATCTCTTTTCTATGGAACTGACCGGTCCAGGTAAGTCAGAACAATTTATTTCATTGACGTGGTTCCATAAGGATTCGAGCTCAGGTCTGCATGTCACCAGTTCAAGGGGGTACCAACTGGGCTAGGCCCGTTTGTTACGTGTTTTTTCGCCCCCCCCCCCCCTCTTTCCATATCAGTTCTACGTTTTGCGTCGTTTTCCGTTGATGGCGGCGCTATCAGAACTCTCCCTCCACGGCTTCCTCCAGAATGAAGGGCTATACCGTTGAATAGGAGGGTTGGTTTTTAGGTAGTACCATTTTGAATGAAGTGGAACCGACTTCTTCGCAGGTTGGGTCTGTTTCCCGCTGGTGAAAAGTACTCGGTTACTTGTTTTTTTTGGGGAATGTATGCCTATATAATTGTATCGTCAAGCAGAACTGCCCGGCGAACAGAGGCAGAGAGGGAGAACAGGACAACAAACGAGGGGCTGTGGCTGACTATATATGCATAAATATATACACGTAAGTAACAGCAGCACCATACAGGTACCTTGAGGGCAGTGGTTGGTTCCCACCTCAGGGTATCAGGGCTGGCAGTCGTTCATGCTTACACGCAATCGTGTTAGGTGGGTCTCTCTTACAGTATCATCATCGATTAGGGGACGTTGCAGACTGTGGAGGGTTCAGCCTCGTGATGAGTCGGTGAACTCCGACGAAAGTCTGTCACAGCCCCTCGTTCGTTGTCTTCTTCTCCCTCTCTGCCAGAGGGCCTGATGAGTCGGTGAAACTCCGACGAAACGGTTTGTCACAGCCCCTCATTTGTGGTCCTTTCTCCCTCTCTGCCTACGGTTTACAGGGCAGCTCTGTTTGACGATATATATATCTATATCTATATCGATATATATTTTGTCACAGCCCCTCGTTTGTTGTCCTCTTCTCTCTCTCTGCCTACGGTTTACCGGGCAGTTCTAGTTGTGACGATATATATTTTGTCACATTGTGAATCAGAGCGCAGAAGCGAAAAAAAGGGGAAAGAATAAAGGAAAAGGAAAAAAGGGGGAGGGGGAGAGGCAAGGAAAGCTCCACCTGTTCATATATGTGTTTACAGTGTGACAATATAAAAGTGTTTACAGTGTGACAATATATATATGTGTTTACAGTGTGACAATATATATGTGTTTACAGTGTGACAATATATATATGTGTTTACAGTGTGACAATATATATGTGTTTACATATATACGTACGTATGTTGCATCAGCACCCATTCCGCTCCATTTAATCGATTATATGATGTACGTGAACTATCCTTTCGGCCAGTCGTAGAAGCACGTGAACGACGTGTGGCTGGTGGTTCGCTTCTCTGCTTGCCGCCCCATCTTCCTTCTCATCCCGTTGTTCCTGTGTCAGAAATTCCGCATATGCCCCTGAACACAGCAAAAGATGAGATACTGTGAAAAGAGCCTCGTAAAGTAACTGGAGGTCTGCACGTCTTGGTACACAGATTGTGCACCTGTGCGTCTTCTTCGTATCCGACAGGTTGATGCTGACAGGGGCATCCGAGGAAGAGTATGTATATAAACTTCAGCCCCTTTGGTGAGTCGGTCAAACTCCGACGAAAGCCTGGTCAAAACTCCCCCGGAAGCCTGTCACAGCCCCCTGTTTCGTGTCGTCTTCTCCCTCTCTGCCGACAGTTCACGGGGTAGTTCTCTACAACTCTCCCTCTCTTTTTCTCTCTTTCTCTCTCTTTCTCTCTCTCTGTGTCCCCTTCACGTCGTGTGAACTCGGAAGTGTGCCGTTTTCTCAGGTGGTTGACATCTCTTCGAGGACACCTTTGCCCCTTTGGTCCTCCCTCTTCCATACTTTCCGTACGATCGTTCGTCTGCTCGTATGCATGGTGTGCTCGCCTCCTCTTCGTCTCCATAGAAGTTGAAAGGCGATCGCGGTAATAAACCTGGGCGATCCGTCGAACATGGGTAAGGATACGGAGGAGGAGGGGCTTGAGTAATACCACAAGTATCATTCAGTCAGTTATTTACATTTGATAGCGAACAGCAGAGGGCAGGCTCCTTAGAGCGGAATGCAGGGCGGGTAGGCAATTAGTTTTTCTGCAATCTCCTCCCCTGCACGTGGGCGTCGTTTCAGCCGCCCTGTTTCCCCCTTGTACAGCCGACTAACTAGTTTTTGTGTGCAACGAGAGGCAAGGCAGGATTGCCTCCCTCTCGTTGCATGAAAGCTCCTTTTTATGATTGGGGGTTCTGAAACCGTAGGGCGGCATGATCATGATGATAGAAAGGGCGGGGCACAGACGATTTCTTAGCATGAATAAGGAGAGAGGAAGGGGAGGGGGGGGAAGAGAAGGGAGGGAGGTGAGGAGAGGGGCAGCTTTCCCTTCTCATCGTCATCCTGCCTCGTTGCCTCTTGCTTCCGTCTTACCGTGTACTTCTTTACGAGTGTGACACCATCAAGATCTGAACGAAATTGAGCAAAAGCAGCTACATCACGGTATTGTGCAAGTTGTAGTTGAAGACTACCGCACACGTGCTTCATTGGTAATGGTAATGTCATTGGCAGCTTTTATGTTGTCGATCATTTTTTCCCGACTACTGGGCATCGTTTTGAGCGCCGATTGAGTACTACCAAACGAATGGGAAGTAGTTTGGGACTCGTAAGTGGACCCGTGAGGATTTGCTCGCTGGATATTCCACACGCTCGCCAATCTGTGTATTTTTGTGTTGCGTCCCTCGCGCATTCTTACTGTGTCTGGGTGATTTTCTTTTTTTCTCCGTTTAACGTCGTGGTATAATATGTAGGGGTATATAAATGTATCACAGTATTCAGAAGTGGATTATATTTGGGGAAATGACGTGATTGTCACTTTTAGTGACCGACTTTCCACGGTTGCCACTGCTGGAATGGATGGAACGGAACGGAACGTCCGGGCACGGATCATGCACTTAGTTGTCCTCGAATCTGGCTTCGTTTCATCGGTGGCAGATTTGGGTTTTGCGCTCGGTGGCAATCCCATTAGTATGTTATAGTGTCACCGTTGGGCCATTTCTGAGTCCAAGGCAAGCGACCATTGCCATCCCGTCATGCCTGAGTGCTCGTTTCTACGAGGGCAACGTT